GGGAGGGAAGGAAGGAGGGAGCTGCCGGGGCGCCCCGCTCGCAGAGGAGAAACTCCCCGCGCAGGGCCGCTGCTCCGGCGGATCGTAAAGCAGGCTCCCGCTTCCCGCTCGTTGAGACGGTGGTGCAGATTGGTTGACAGTAGGCAGCCGTCCCGAAGCCTGCGACTTGGCGGCGGTCTGTAAGTTAGGCCCGCCCGCTGCGCGAGTCCGCGCCGAGGGGCCGAGCTAAAGTTGAGCGCTTTCCGCAGACGTCCTGGCGTAAGGTGGCTAGCTCTAGCCGACGCCTGTACCTTGCTGGGGTCGTCGGCCGCAGACACAGACATAATAGCATCTTCCTCTCGTTTCCCCCAGATCGTTAACACTCTAACTTGATGACCTCTGATTCTAAGGACTTGCAGACGTTGGGTTCCGGGGCCAGCCATACAGGGTGCAGTGTTGACAGTTGGAGGAAGTCGAGGATTCCCGTGGACTTGTGTGCTCCAGTTTTGTTGTGGAAAATTTTTCTGTAATACTTCTGTTGGTACTGTAAGAATTTTCCATTCTCTGTAACGTTTTTCAAAATAAAACTCTTCAAACCGCTTGGGTTGTTTAACCTCGTCAAGTGGAATAGTTTGGACAGGCAAATGTTCCTCTGCAGTGGAGAGTCTGTCTTGAGTCTGTCTGACTTGACAGCGGAGTGCGAAGTGTGTGGAGTAGCTGAGATGTGCGGGCTAGCCTGCCGACCTCAGCACCTTGTTGTCTGAGCCGGGCTCGTTATTTGGACTTGTATCAACCTAGAGTAGAATGGTGACATTTGTTTACTTTTAAACTCAGTGGTTTGGTTTATTATTATTATTAAAGTACTTGTGACTGCAGAATCTTGTCTTTCTGTTTTATTTTTTTGTTTCTCAGTGTAAGTTTTACAGATAACTGCCTTGAAGTTGGGGTGCCAGTGTTACCCTGCTTGAGGAATGAATTTATAGCTCTAGTTGTGCCTAAGGTGGGAATCTTTAACTAAGCAAGACCCACAACAGTACAGTTTAGAAACTGAGTTAAGTCTTGCTTATCTGAGAGCTGAGCTCAACTGACGGGTCTGTCCGTACATATTAACAATCACAGATTTTTGTTTGTTTTTCACGGTAGCAGTTTTGGTGGTGTGCAGTGGCTGTCACTGGGTTTTAGCAGATGAAATTCCAGCTTTTTTAGATATGGGGATTTGTTTTTCCATCATCTGTTTAGAATTTTTCCAGTCCCAACTAATCAAAACTGTTTTATGAGTGAGTCATAGATTTCTTAGTAGAAAACTTAAAATTCTCTGGAAACAAACTGCCCCACAATCCTGTATGTCAAGCTGCTAGTAACAGGCTCTGCGAGTCAGTATTGAAAGTAGTGTGTTGTATAGTATTGGAAAGCACTAAACATGATGGAATTTGAAGTTAACCTTTCGTACTTACAAAAAGAGTTGAGGCGGAGTTCATCTGCAGGCACGGGCTATGCCGCCTCAGGTCCTGAATTGACTGTCTAGTTTAAAGGGAAGATATCTTCTTAATTTAGTCCCCATCTTGAGACTGTTAGAAATAGGATCTTGTTATCATAATCCAACTTTATGGGTTTATAGGATTCTAATTAGACAACAGATGTAGATAGGTTAGTTCTTACCCACTGCTTTCTATGAAAGCATTTCAGAATTGAAGAAACTACATCTGTGGAACTGAAGTGTGGCATGTAAGGATGTACTTGTTCCTTTATTGTATCTCTTGAGGTTCAGTCTAGCTGCGTAGCCCAGGCTTGCCTCAGATACACTGTCCCCCTTCCTTAGCCTGGTGGGTGCTGGAATTAGGTGTAAGCTACCAAAGCCAGCGTAGAAACCTGTTAGCGCCGGGAGGCTGACTTCTCAATGCACTCCTGCTTGCCAGACTCAGTAATAAAACTGGACCAGGCCTGGAAGCGCAGATTTGTGCTCAGAAGCCTGAAGCCAGCCCGGGGAATTATAAAGACCCTAGCAAAATGAATACAAAAGCAAAGGACTAGTGGAAGGCCCTGGGCCCCTAATACCTTTTAAAAAAAAAAAAAAGATGAATATGTGGGCCTAACTTTTTTTTTTTTTTTTTTAAAGAAACAAGTTTAAAGCCAGGCATGGTGGCACACCCCTGTGATCCCAGCACTTGGGTGGCAGAGACAGTCAGGTCTCTGCAAGTTCAAGGCCAGCTTGGTCTACAAAGTGAGCACAGGACAGCTAAGGGTACACAGAGAACCCCTCTCACAAAAAAAAAAGAAAAGAAACAAGTTTGGTAAATGATGACACACATACCTATACACCTTTTTTTCTCCCCCTGGGGATAAAAAAGCAAATTGTTACTTTTCCATTTAAAAACTTTCATTGTAGAACTGAAAAATAATTGGATTGTAGTGCTTGAAGTGATTAAAATGTAAGTGTTGGGGATTCAGTGTTTCAGTTGGTACAGTGTAATAAGTAGCACCTGCTAAGTCAAAAAGTAACAGTTGATAGAAATTCTGTTTTTAGAGTCACCCTTAATTTCAAAGCCCCAGAAGGAAAAGACTAGTCACTTGGTGAGAAAAGTGAATGTTGGGGGGGGGTAATTAAAAAAAAAAAAAAAAGACAAGTTTGGAAAACAAGTGAGGGGTGAGTATCCCATCATTTAGCACCTCTTGATTATGTAATTCCATTAGCTAGGATATCTTAACAGTATGACAGCTTTATTTACAACTGAAAGGGACCTTTCCAAAGGGAGTACCTACTGGATGGGTTTGTCACAGTTGAGGAAAGTGATCAACATTGGAGCTTCACAGTCTTCTTGTACAGAAACATTTGCAGATCTTAACTAGTTCTTAAAGTGGTGTTTGGCAAATCCGAGCCACTTTTACTTTTTGAGGCAGGGAATAGGAGAATAGGCCATCATTGGTAAGGCGTGGAAACAGCCTGTTTCCTGGATAGATTGGGCTGGGTGAGATATTTGAAGTAATTGGGATAAAATGACACTACATTGATACTAGCCATGTGGTCTCTTGAGACTGAAAGAATAGAATCTAGGTATCATAATCCAACTCTGGATTTATAGGAGTCTAACTAGAAAGTTAGAAACCCTGCCTTGGCTTGCCTTCATTCTGGTCTGATCCAGCATTACCACACCCAAGTAAAGGATTTATAGGAAGCTTTATTTATTTATTTTTTTCTAAAAGATGTTTAAGGTAGCAAACGTTCCTAATTTTAAAAGCTCTACACCTAAAATTCCTTATGAGAGCTAGTTTTTCAGATTCATAAAAATAAGCTGGACAGTTTAAATGATCAGCTTGAAACTCTGATTTTGAAAGAAAGTTCTTTTGGGGGGTGTTTTGTTTTGCCCTTAATATGTTAAGCCAAGTTTATCTCTTATGTCTAAAACTCCAAAATTCAGCCCATTTTTCTATTCTGTCAATAGCCTTGCAAGTGAAGCAAAATACCCGTTGTCATAGAAACAGAATTAAAAAACTACAGATGGTTGGATTAGGAAGGAATTGAGAAAATTTGGCCATGTTATATTGGGTAGTAAAGGATCTACACACAAAGATGTTTGAGAAAATAAAGTTTAATTTTCAGGAAAAGTTTCTTTTATCCTTGTTCTACTGGCTTGAGATAAGTGCCGGGTGGCTGAGGCTTGCAGAGACCTTTAATGCTCCAGTCTGCTTCCCGGTGCCGAGATGATAGGGTGCGACCCCACACCTGAAGAGAGCGCCAGCTTCAGAGCCGGGGTCAGAGATTGCACCGCTTCTGGAAGTTGCTGAATTCCCTCCAGAAGCGTATAAAAAATTGCGAAGTGTTTTTTGAAGGCTCATGCATTCTTGACATTTCAGTAGAAACTTTCTTTTGTCTCAATACGGTAGTTATTTTTAAAATAAATCTAAAAAAGGGGAAATAATTGAAAAACATGAGTAGGCAAACCAGAAAGAGACCAAAGAAAAAACTATAGAAGGGACCCATGGAAAACTTCCATGGTTGTCTCGGTGAGCAAAATTTTCGTATGTTTACTTAGGACCATGTTGGGTAGGAGTGCACTCAGTCGCGCTCTCTGCTTTCCGCCACTGAGATCAGCCCGGAGGCAGCCATGCTGCTATAACCCTGAGTGCGGCTCGGATTAAGTTCAGCTTCCATTTTGTTATGCTGTTTGATATTGGGGTTAGTTTATATCTCAGCTTCATTTTTTAAAGAAGTTACAGTAAAAGTGGATGGCTTATGTTTCTAGAGGAATTTCTGTGGGTTGTTTGTGATGAGCAATAAAATTTTTTACCAAATTACATTTTCCTTTCATTACTAGAACTTAGTTAAAAGTACTGTTTAAAAATAGAAAAAAAACAAGGGATAAAAGACTTTGTAAAAGCTTATCTCGGGAAGGATTAAATATTATACCAGTGTTCTATTAAAAACAGAATGGCCTTTATTTGATTATGTAAGGCTTGTTTTGGTTTTGGTTTTGGTTTTGATTGGTTGGTTGGTTGGTTGGTTGGTTGGTTGGTTTCTCTCTCTGAATAACAGCCCTGGCTGTCTCTTTCGGAGACCAGCTTTTGAAGTTTGTTTGTTTTTATTTTAGGAGACACAGTTTCTTTCTGCAGACCAGGCTGGCCTGGAAATCAGATCTGCCTGCCTCTGCTTCCCTCAGCGCGTTCCTGATGCTGCTGTTCTGCAAGTTCACAGTCTGAAGTCTTTGCTAACGTTCCTAAAGCTCACACTGATGAGTTACTGGGCCGTTAGGCTGTTTAAACGCAGTGGCTGCCCAGCTCTGCACCGTGAGCTGCAGTAGGGAAACTTCATCCAGCAGTGGCTTGGCTGCTACTCTGTTGAGACAGAGGACAGCCTCTCTGGCCTTGAGGTCTGGCGGCCTGTCTGGTTTGCAGCCTTGATGAGTACAGACCTGATTCTTGAACACTGCAGGGTTCGCTTTAAAAGCTTGCTTCAGCTTCACATGTGCAGGGTCACATAGCTTACTGAATTAAGTCTTGAATTACTTAATGGTATCCTTTGTCATTTACAAAGAAGGTAGTCCAGGTTCGTGGGTAACTGGTTCTGTTTTAGTCCTAGCAGGCTCAAGTTTAAAGCCAAGTTCTGAAGGATGTATAGGAAATAAATGGATGAAATTGTCAGAGTACGTTGATTGTTGTGAGAATTTGGGGTTAGAGCCAGAATTCTGTAATCACAGTTTCAAATCGTGTTTTATCAGTAAAGGATGTCTGAGGTTAATATCTATGTGTTTATTGTAGTTTTGAAGTGTAAAGCAAAAAATTGTCTTAGAGATACTTGAGGTGAAAGGCATTGTGCAGACAGTAAACACAGCTAAGTCCATTTAAGTAGCAAATGTTGCATTCTCTGGAAAACTACTAAGTCCTGTGGATGCAGCGCTGACCCCACAAGGGTGTTCTGTGTGTCTTAAGATTCCAGCCTGTGGGCCTTACGAGACTGGGAAATCTGTTTCATTTGCACATGGGTGTGTTTCTAGAGTCTGAACTGTGTCTGGCATTGTAGTAAGTGTCAGTATTTAATTAAATGACTGGATGATAAGGTAGAAAAGTAAACTTTTAACCTGATTCTTAAGTGGCAGTGAGATTTT